GCCCGGGGTAGCTCACTAGGTATAATGACAGGATACTGGGTGGATGGCCAAGGAAAGGGGGTTCTATTCCCGACAGAGGTTTCTGAAAAGTTATGTTTTCTGGGATATAATTCCATGTAGTGCGTTGAAATTCACTTGACGTTTCAGAGGAACATGTTGCCTCGTTCTTCGGAGTCAAAAGAAATGTCAGGTGACTTTCAGTGGACTAACAGCATTATATCCCAAAAGATATTTCTTTTGTAACCAGCACTGTAATCCTGCAAGAGATTGTTTCTTCTCCACAGTATCCAGACTGGCTCTGGGACGAAGCAAGCCTCCTACCTGTAGGTACTGGGGGGCTCTTTCCCCAGGGGTAAAACAGCAGGGAGGTGAAGTTGACCACTCCCTTCCATCTAGTGCGGAGGTTAAGAATGTGTCTGGAGCTATATATCCACTCTTCCATACACCTTCATGGTTTGGTCCTTAATTAATTAAGCACATGAAAGATTTTACCTGTGCCACATTCTCATATTCTCCAGTCTTTTCTTACTTTCTCATCCTGTTCCTGTATATTTTCCTTGGCACATTGTTCTCAGATGCTCTCTGTCTGTGTTTTCAACTCTCACAGGGGAGTAGAAAGTTTGAGGCCCATTGAGAGAAGACGTGAAATGTATGGTTTTATGTAGTAATTTTAGAAGCATGTGGGAAGGTAAAGTATTCTGAGCTGGATAATAGCAAGATTTGTCAAATATAATTAGCACAATATGAAAATTGTTCTGGTATTTGTTATTGCTCTTCCAGACCCATGAACTTTGCCACTTTTCAAAGATGTTTGTAGATGCACATGCCAAAATAACCCAAAATAGAATAAAATAAAACAAAAACAGCACTTCCATAATATAAGGTCTTCAGAATTTGACAAATTTTGACAGTTTAACCATCTTGGAATTTAACATTTTTGCAAGGTAGCATTACACTCCAGTATGTCATACTGACAACACAACATATACAGTTGTAAACACTGGCCAATGTACGGGGCGATCAGTACAACCAACAGCCTCCATAGTGTTGACTGAAAGGCCCAAATATGTAGTAATACGAGTAGAGAATTAACATGTGTCATATCTCCACAAAAGTTGATTTGTCAGAAATAAATACAACATAAAAAGGAAATAAATTTGGCTGTATCATCATTGGAGATGCCAACAAGTTCCATTATAACACAAAATTGCATGATATTACTCTTGTTTGTGATTCAGGTAGGCAATCTTTGTTGAATCACCTGCATGTGAAATGGCGTTACTGACAGGTGATAGGAGGGGACTAACAGTGACCTATGTAATAGATGACAGGAAACATGTTTGAACTGTGTAACAGAGGGAAAATTGCATTTGATCTACATAATAATCAGCAGGAAGAGATTTAAACTTGTAACGTGCATTGCATAAGGAAACAAACTTGCGTGTTGGCAGGTTATAGGAGGAGACTTACGCTTGGACCTTGTGTAAGAGACTTGCACTTCGGAAACAGGGACATCAGTAGGGCAGATTTACAACAGAATCCTTCAGGCAAATTAAAGGAGCACAAATAGTGCTCATAATTGTTAGATCAGATTGAGATGTCTAACTGCAGTGGTTGCAGATGAAAGCCAACTGAATGAAGCAAATCAAAACATTGTAATATGTAGTTGTAGTAGAACGGTAAAGTGAAAATTGGAATATTTTTAAAAATAAAATTAATAAGATCGAAGCAGACTATGAGAACATTTCTATTTAGAGGAATAAATTAATTTCAGAATGGCTATCAACCCACATCTACCTTTGTGAAGCGTGAGATAGCTGTTGAATATGTGCCTGGTTAACAATGTTACGCAGACTGAAATACTGATCATATGGCTCAGTCATCAGTATGTGAGCCCAGCCTTTTTTTGAGGCCAAGATTGCTGTTGACAGATTCAGAAAGTTTGAATCACCAAACATTATTCAATTCATGTCAGAATTCACAAAGACATAAAACGTTGTGTTATGAGAACTACAAAGTTAGTAATTCTGATCAAAATATGGAGGAATTGACACAGCAATGGAAGAAATATATTATCAAACTTATTTATAAAAAGTTGAATAAATCTGTTGTAATTATCAAGGAATATTACTGTTATCAACTTTATTCAAAATTATGTCCAACATCATTTTATCAAAGTTAACTTCTTATGTAGATGATAGTATTTGGTGTTATTGTTGATTTTGACAGAATTGATTAACTGCCAATCACATATTCTGTCTTCATCATCAGATATTGGAGGAAAAGCGGGGGTTAAATTGGACAGTACACCAGTTATTTATGTGGACTCAAGAACATCTACAGATTCTTTCATGAATGGTTTAATCTGGCCAGCTATCCGAATTACGAGAACATTCATACAGTAACTGGGCATGCCTGAAGTGATACATGGATGAGCAAAGAGACCATCAGCTATCTGTGTTACTGTGTGATGTCCCTTCTCCTATTTATCATGTATGACTTGGGCCTGACCGTGGCTGTAAGTGACTCACTGTGGTATGTCAGTGCCCTTCGTTAGACTTGAAAGAATTCTGACGATGGTGTATACTGTACTTCTTTTGGCTTATTTTGGACTTCATCCATCGTCTGGTATGTAAAAGACAAAAGACCACGACGTTTCGGAAACTGGATCTGTTTCCATCTTCAGGTGGGTAGGGAAGGATGAACCTACTCAGTTGAGCCCGTTAGAAAGAGCTAGTCTCAATCACTGGACATTTACATACCAGACGATGGATGAAGTCCAAAATAAGCCAAAAGAAGTACAGTGCCCTTCGTGTTAATGTTTTGGTAAGAATTTTAGAAACCTGTTTTTATGATGTCATTTACATTACTGACTTGAGATGGTAAAGCATACACCCAAACAGCAGGCTTTTTTTTCCAGATGATACTTATGTGAAATATAAATCATCAGTTTCCTAAAAGCAGATTTCGCTGAAATGGGAGTCACATTAGAACATTCGCATAACAAATCCCTGATGCGATTAATTTAGCCGGCACAGGTTTTCAGTGATAGCGGCAAGGAGAGTGACGTCTGTTGCCATAATAAACTAGACAAGTTCAGGCAGTTATGAGAGAAGAACGCTTTTTTGTAACAGGTTCTTGTGGCAGCATATCACAGTGTTCTTGACCCAGAACTAACATTTTTTATTGAGTAAGATTGCATGCATCTGAATGGGTATATCGGTGCTCAGAATAATGAACAATTCAGACATGACTTCAGGCACCCCTTTTACAATCATGAGATAGGTGTGTGGTGTGCTACTACTGTTACACGAATAGTAGGTCTCATATTTTTTGAACAGACCTACTTCAGAGTGGTTGAGGAAAGATGTATGATTATTTTCTACAGAATATTGCAACAGCACACACTTCTAATTATTCCATTTATACAGGGTGATTCAGAAAGACACAATTTCAATTGGCTATATTTCCTGAATTATATGTTGCATTTGAATTCTGTAAATTACACTTGATTATACATACGTGGAAGTTAATAGATGTTCAATGTGCCCCCCCCCCTCCTCTGGCTGCATGGATAACATCTAGACGGTAGCTGAATTCATCCTACACTCGATGACAAATATCTTGCGTCACTGAGTTCACCGCAGCTGTGATACAGTTTCTTAGGTCATTCAAATTTGTGGGAAGAGGTGGTACACGCCACACAGTTGTTTGCGATAGTCCAAGTTCTCTAGTAGCACTACGGGTTGACTTCATTGGGCTGCGCTCAAAGTTCACTCGAATGCATTCCACGTTCTCCTCCAATACACGCGATCGGCCCGGGACGCAGTGATGGAGGGCACTAGCGGTAGTACTAGAAACTTTGTAACATCCTCTTTCAAATGTACTTTACAGAATTCAAATGCAACATACAGTTCAGGAAATATAGTCAATTGAAATTGTGTCCATCTTTCTGAATCACTCTGTATTTTAAGCAGGGTGTTCTAAGACAGACTGTAGCCTGAATGGTCTGCAGATCTCTGTAATCTTTATGTGAGGAAACCAGAAAAAAGGCAACATACTCTAATAATCTCCACAGCCCAGCATTTGTGAAACACTTGACATCTTTCAAAGGTCATTGAACTCAAACCAGTGCCGCCAGTCTTTTCAAGAGATTTGTTTAGGAGCAGAAGGGAGACATTTTGAGCATCTCTTGCACCACCACCACCACCCCCACCACTACCACCACCATGACATTTGGAATAACTGGCTGCCTGCATCTTTAGGGTAGAAGTGATGATGTAACATCCATTCCTAATATTCACTGCTGCTGGGAATTTGAATCTCATACATATGAAAAGGACTTCTCTGAAACTTCTAAACTTATGTACGTTGTCTCAGTAGTACCAATATATTGAACATACTCCAACTTTTCAATGGGTGAGCAGGAAATGAAAAGCCAAAGTTCGTTCCTTCTTGTCCTTAATTAAAATCAGTTATAGACTGTTCAGATGAACATAAACTGAATATTATTTTAAGTGATCAGCAGTTCTTTTTAAGTGAGAATGCATAACATATACCAGTGTAGTTCAGGTAAACAGTAGGTTTCAGATTAATTTTTGATTGTTTGTTAGCAGCAATCATACCCAAACTGTAGTAATCAGGGTAAGAGGGGAGGAGCTGTTTACGTTTGTATGGCTGGGTTGAGTGTTGCTATAAAGATTAATCATGGGCTGTACATTTGTTTTCATTTGAGCAGGAAATAAATTTCAGTTTCCTTCATGATAAGATACTGACAGCTGCACATGTATTTCAGAATGTTTTAACTGTGTCTGTCAAAGGAATTGACAGAAATTAATTTTAGATTTGGGAGCATCAAGAACTGTATGTATTTCGTTTCAGTAAGAAGATGTTAGGAAATCTTTGCAGTGATTGTGGCGAAGGGTATACTTATGTACTACTTGTTTGAAGATACTCCAGATATAATACATATGTGTGATACTTGTTTTGCTTTGTTTCAGCTTCCTAGACAAAGTGCACATAATCAAACAACCAAACTACACACCTACAGAACAGGTTAGTAGTGCTAAATTTGTATGTGCAAATCCATCCAGTTTCTATAGTGAAAGAATATAAAATGACCTCCAATTTATGTACTTTGTAAAGCCACGTCTGTTCATTAAATATTTTTCACTTCCATAGTTGCACCTAGTCTTTACTGGTGAGGACCCAGAAAATTTTATTTTGTTAGGGACCAACAGTGTTAAATTCTGTAACTTAAAGGTGCTTAATATATGAAAATAATATTTATTTCAAAATTCTGATGTAGTATGGATTTCAGGTTCCCACAATAATGACTCTGGATCAGTGCTGTCCAACTTTCTTATGTACTCGGGCACAATTCACTGATGACTATGGAGGTGTGGGCGCCACCACACACTACTACTACTACTACTANGATTGTAACACCATGTAGTTCAGAAAAGCATGATGTTTCAGAGAAATTATTGCCTCCATCTTCAGAGTCAGAAAGTAAGCAAAACAAGAAACAAACCTACTTCTGATGTTTTTTAATGGCTTAATCTTCAGATCTAAAGATACAGCATTAAAACTCAGAAGCCTTATACCCTTCCAAATTGTAGTTCAGTTTTCTAAAACACAGTGATAACCACAGTAAATATGGAAATTAAATATTTGTTGTTTTATTTTGCATATAGTCGCTTAACACTACTAGAACTCACAGCTTTAATGCAGTTTTATTATACCTTGTAAAGTTTACTCTTATCATTTGAAATTTTTTATTTTATTTTGTGAACTAATAATAGTTCAGTGCTTTGATTTTTGAGACTGAATTCATATGTCACATTTATGTCATATTAAAAGGTATGGTTATCATGTCCTGACATCACTGCATGTCTAAATATGTGTACAGCTCATTCCAGCCAGCAGTTTGTCAGTTTTTGAAGTGAGATTATTTTTGTCACAGTGATTTAACAACATCCAAGATATCAGGACAAAATAAGTGCCTTGAATTTTACAAGATTAGAAAGACAGCTAATGTACCAAGACTTTATGCAAATTACATTTGGAGATGCTGTAATGAGATGAATCCAAGTATTGCACGAACTTGCAGTTGGACAGAGAATAATAATTAATACAGAGAAGTAAAACAAATTTGAAAACACCAAATGTATTTTTCGGGGAACAACTGAGAATAAATTATGCAGCTGTCTGGAATTTTTGACAAATAAATAAACAGTTTATTCAATTAAAATAATGCAGTTAAACAGGATCATATATCCAGAGTAATTTTTTGAAACAAAAATTCTTCACTGACAGCAAATGTTATACACATATTTGAACAAAACAACAAATAAGTCAAAAGGAGAGTTAGCTTCTGGTGTGAGGCCTTCATATGAACAAATTTTGATGATACAGTTGCATCCACATCCCATTCTTTATTATTCCAGCACTATCCCCATTCTCCATGAGGTTTTCCCACATACACCGCTGTCCAAAAAGTATCCGACTTTTTTTTTCCCGCTGTAAGTAATGGCCAAAGGGGTGGGGAAACTGAGCGTTGTGGTAGAAGGGACTTTCATGCGTATGCGTGATTTTTTGCTGACTCGCAACACTGCCAGATGTGTCTGTGGCTGCCAGATAGCGAAGTGGTGTAGCGCCTGTTCGCGCTTTCTCATTTTGATCAAGATGACAGAACGCTCGGAGCAGCAATACTGCATCAAGTTTTGTCAGAAACTTGAGGATACCCAAGTGGAAACAATCCACAAAATGCAGCAGGCTTTTTGTGATGATGCAATGGGGGTCACTCAGATTAAAGAGTGGTTCAGCCGCTTTAAAGATGGCCGTATGTCGGCAGACAGTGACCAGAGCTCCGGGAGACCGTCAATGAGCCGAAATGCTGATGTCATTTAAAAGGGCGGACACTGATCATGGAGGACTGTCGTTTGACCATCCGGAAAGTTGCCGATGAGGTTGGGATCAGCAGAGGTTCCTCAAACACAATTTTAACTGAGGATTTGGGCATGCGAAGAGTGGCGACAAAATTTGTGCCCAAGCTGCTTTCGCCGGAGCACCAACAACTCTGCCTTGAGGTCGAGCAGGACATGCAAGAGTGTGCCAACAGGGATCCTGAGTTCCTCAAGACTGTCATCACTGGTGACAAGTCTTGGCTGTACGGATATGACCCAGAAACCAAGGTCCAGGCGTCATAATGGAAGCATCCAACATCCCCAAGGCCCCAAAAAGCACGACAGGTTTGGAGCAATGTGAAGGTGATATTGAGTGTTTTTTCGTTTACGGGGGGTGTTGTGCATCATGAGTATGCACCACTAGGCCAAACTGTCAATAAGGAGTACTACCAAGAACTCCTCCATCTTCGTGATGCAGTTCAGTGCAAGAGACCGGTGCTATGGGACGCCCACAACAGGCAGCTGCATCCTGACAACGCCCCAGCTCATTCATCACACCAGAATCAGGGTTTCCTGGCCAAGCACAGCATTCTGTAGGTTTGCCAGGCTCCCTTCTCTCCTGATATGGCACCTTGTGATTTCTGGCTGTTCCCGAGATTGAAGACACTGCAAAAAGGCTCCCATTTTGACAGCCACAAGGACATCATGCAGAACGCGATGGTGCAGCTGCACACCATTCCTAAAGAAGCCTTCCAGAATTGCTTCCAGGGATGCAAGGACTGCTGGGCTAAGTGTGTGGAGTCACAAGGGGCATACTTTGAAGGGGATTATGTATTGTATCCACCAAGATACAGAACTTTATTTTCCCAGCCTAAGGTCGGATACTTTTTTGACAGAGTAGTAAATTCTGTATATCTCCCTATGTCCCCTTTCTACCTACAAACCCAGCCCATCATAATTTTATAGATTACATTATCCTCACAACACTAGGGGACCTGTATAAATTGCAAAATTCCTCGTTTATGAAATATCCTTAGTTGCTCACATTCTTCTTAAGTTCAGATGTGTTAGAACATGTCTGTGCAAATGAATGTACACATTCATGCACATGTGTGATTACTTTAAGTTGTGAGGATCACATCTGTGATACTGTGGTGCTACAGTTACCATATCCAACAGTTTTGGGATTGAATTTTCATGGAGAAGCTAAAGGTCATTTACCCAGTATATCACACTGTTGTAAGAGTGTTTATATGCCATCAAGCTGGTCAGACATTTTATCCTTCCAGTGCTGTACCATTACCCATAAGTTAACCCCTTCACAGTCAGGTCCTACACCAAACCCCACCCCAAATGCAAAGAAAATCCTTAAGTTGCTTTGGATTTAATGTATAGAATTATCACTTTCTTTATGCGTATGTTTATAGATGCATGTTATCAAACCGGTAAGAGCCTATTCTGCTGAAAATAAATCAACAATCAGTGTACTGGAATTTTCCCTTTTCTACCAGATTGTAGGTTTATTGAGTTTATTGTTTTAGAACCTCCAGATTTTATGCACAGATTCAGTTAGTTGTAAAGACAGAGGCATTTATGTTGTGGTCCTGTTGGTTATAACACATGTAATATTGTAGCTGCATACCGGTGTTTCAGAGGGATGTGTTGCCTGCATACGCAGAATCGACATGGGTTGGTTGAGGATATGGTCAGATGACATGGATAGTGGTCACTCAGAATTGTGGGAGGTAGAAAGGTTAAAGCCTCTTGGGGCCAGCAGGAATGGTGAATAGATGAAGACAGACAGATATGTGGGAAAACAGCCACTACTGTGGCTAGTGTGGAGGAAGAACATTTTCTGTGAGGTAGATCTTCCATTCTATCAGATAGTGGATGAGAGGCTTCCATGACCTGATCACAAGAAATTATCCGTGCTGTTCATATAATTAGAGTGGAACTTGATATTGAACATTTTACAGTCCAATTCATGCAAGCTGAATTTCTTGGCAAGGGTGCAAGTGTTATCCCATCCTTGGTTTTGAGTGACCACTGTTTATTCAGGTTTCTTGTATAACCTGACCTCACCCCACCTTGAAAGTAGAAGTAACACATTCCTCCAAAAGTCTGTTCCATCCACCATACTATATGTGTCATGACCCAGGGACCACAGTCTGAATACTTACCACTGTGACAACCTAAAATTTTACGTAAATGCATAGAACTATTTAACTTCCTTGTGGGCCATGTATTTACATTCATATTTCTATCATTCATGATTTAAGGAATGAGCTGAATACATTGAATTCAATACTGAGTAGATTACACATATTTTGTATTTGCAGGATATCCTGAGGTGTCGGGTCTTAACATCGGGTATTTTTGAAACAAGGTTTCAAGTGGAGAAAGTCAATTTTCAGTAAGTATAATGTCGCAGATTATCGCTGTAGAAGCATGCACATAAATTTACAAATGTTTGAACATCATTGTATACACAGTACACAAATTTCAGATTTTTTGTATATCTTGTTCCTTCACAGATACATGAATTATTTCCTTATGTTCCACTGATGTGTAACTGTCGCCACTCTTTAATATTTCCGTGTTTAATAGATATCAAAATACATTACATCATATCATAATGATCTTTTCTGCTGAAACATGTTTTTATTACCTGGATCATCTTCAGATCCATTTTACTGAACACACGCTATTAAGTTTACATTAAATTTATTGTAGAATATGTACTTGGTTCTTTTTTTTTTTGTATAAGAGAATGAAATTAATTATATTGTCTCAAGATTATTATTACATGTGTTATATATGGAGGGCCTGTTGGTCCCAGGCTATGACACTGGACTCCCAGTCAGAGAATTTTAGTTAGATTCATGCTCAGATATGTGTGCAGATTTTTCTGCTTGTGAATTGAAACCTCCACCTCTGTCAGAGATTAAACTTTGGGGATGTGAAGAATACTAGGCCTCTGTGCCTGTAATTCAAGCCAGCATTGAAACTATGTGTTCCTTCTGCTGACCATTGTTCTCATGATCATCCTGTCCTTAGAAGCCATCCGGTGGGTTCCTCCACCTCAGAAATGGATTCTACACCCTTGCCTAGATGGACAGAAGCCAAGGGGGTCAAACAGAATGTACCTGGAAACACTAGAAGTCAACCATACATATACAGTCAACTCTCAATTATCCGGGATAATGGTGGGGATGGAAATCATGATTAATCGAAAACCTGGTTAAGACAAATTTTATTAAAAGTAGTACTGTAATACTGTACCTTCATAATACTATAGGCCTACCTGTATTTAAATTTATTCAACCTCATTTTTATGTCATCTCATGGCCTATTTAATACTTTTTTTTTACATTACACTGAAGTATGAATTAGTTATTTCAATCACAGTCTTCAACAACATCCAACACTTTTTACGAATATTCGCACTTAACACTTAAAAAAAAATAGTATTGTCGTTTACTTTTTTGCGGCTTTTTCCTTTTTCTCTTGAATGCTTAACACAACACGCTTCCTTTTACACCCTGATATTTTGCTAACGCACTTGAAGATCGATACAAAGAAACTAACTGGGGCGATGTATCTGTCCTTGAAACTTTCCACAAATCCTTGCATTCTTTCATCCCTACCCTAGAACATTGTGTTAGCATAACGGGACCAAAGAATGCAGAGCTCGGTTCACACTAGTGCGAAAATCGTGTTACAACTCACCATGTGAAACAAAAGTGAATGAATATTAAACAACATATAAGCCTCAGTAGCCCTGGTTAAGCCGCAAACCGGTTAATCTGCCCCCGGATAATCGAGAGTTGACTATACTTCACTTTTGATAAGTAGATATGTCAGTGGTATTGCATGATATCACAGTTGTGTAGTTCTGTTATATGTAATTGTTTCATTGTCATGCTGAAATGAATAAGATGTTTTCTACTATAAACAGTATATTTCAGAGTCATTCCTTCTGCTGTGAGAATATGGCCTGATGCAAGGGTGAAGTCATATCTTGTAACAAGGTCATGAATGCTGCATAGATATGCTACAGAAAATTCTATGTGAGATTCTGAGTAATTTTTAAGACTGTAGCATACAAGCAGTGCTGAAATATGATTGTTGTGTTCTGGGATGTCAAACACAGACTTTTGTGTAGGGGTGAAATACTTCACACTACCACTATAGTGGTTGTGGTGTGGTGGACGTGAGAGATTTTTTGTATTAAGAACGTTTTTAATGTGGAATATTGGTGAAGGAGTGTATAATGTGATGCATCCTTTCCTCAGTATGTTTGATGTTGGTGGGCAGCGGGATGAGAGACGGAAATGGATTCAGTGTTTCAATGATGTGACAGCCATCATTTTTGTGACGGCCTGTAGCAGCTATAACATGGTTCTTAGGGAAGATCCTACACAGAATAGGCTCAGAGAATCGCTTGATCTTTTCAAGAGTATTTGGAATAATAGGTAAGCTACTGTGTGGAAGTTGGAAGACTGGGTAAGATACTGCATTGAAGTTTGAATTGTATACAGGCTATTGAATGGAAATTGAAATAGTAAGATTTAGTACTGAAGTTGGAATATGTAATATACTGCTATGAAGTTAGAACTATAAGTAAGTTACTTCATTAAAGTTGGAGCAATGTATAAGCTACTCTATTGAAACTGGAACAATAAATAATTTGCTGTATCAAAGTGGGAACGGCAGGTATCGCACTACATTGAAGTTGAAATAGTGGATAGGCTGCTGCATTGAAATTTAAGCAGTAGGTGAGCTGCTGCACTGAAGTTTGAACCCAGTTGCTTGAGTTTTTTTTAGTGTTTTCCCACGCCCAGAGATTTTTTGGTCCAGACTGTTCAAACTCTGGTACTGAAATGGCGTTATTTTGAGAGATATTATCCCTGTTGTATTTGACATTAACAGCTTTGCTTCTTCATGAAGACTGAAGATAGAAAATTTTGAAAAGGAACTGGCATGTAGACATTTGGTATTCACTCTGCTTTTATTCATCCTTGCTGAAATATTATTTTGCAAGATACGAATAAAAATTGATGCAGTATGCTTTGTTACAGACCTGTAAGTGAGATTGAAGATGGCTGAACAGAAATATTATAAAATGTTTCTGACCTCCTTTTATGTTGTAGGTGGCTGAGGACGATATCAGTAATCCTCTTCCTCAATAAACAAGACTTATTGGCTGAGAAGATAAAAGCTGGCAAGTCACGTCTAGAGGAATATTTCGCTGATTTTTCACGTTATCAGACACCAATAGATGCAACAGCTGAGCCTGGCGAGGACCCTGAAGTGATCCGAGCTAAATACTTCATTCGTGATGAGTTCCTGGTGGGTGTATGCTTAATGGAATACTGAAGAAAATAAAAAAAGAATGTATAACTGAAAGTGTGTCCTAGATAGTAACATGAACTGTAGAGGCCACGCCATAGCTCAAGTGGCAGCCTCGGTTCGATCCCGGGTCTGGTCAAGTGGGATTTGTGGTGAACAAAGTGGCAATGGGGCAGGTTTTCTCTGAGTACTTCGGTTTCCTCTGTCAATCTTCATTCCACCAATTGCTTCACAATCACCCTCGCCTATCATCTGGGGCTGGTAGAATAGGCCAGAAGTGGCTGCAGTACAAGGGACTTAGTCCCACCCCAGCGGCCTCCGTAGTCTAGAGGTAACGTTCCCACCTCATGACTCGTAGTACGCGGGTTCAAATACCCGGTGGAGGTCGTCGAATTTTTAAGGCCGGAAAAATTCAGGGAACAAGTCCTCCAGGAGGGACTTTAAGCCGTGGGTCCCGTGTCGTAGCTTTACGGCACATAAAAGAACCTCATATCTCCAAAGGAGGTCACTGAGCCAAATTAACGGACATTTCCCGCCCAACAGCAGTCTCTAATACCTCTGGTAGATGGGGGAAGCATTATAGATACCTCTCAGCTAGTAGAGCCGGTCTCGCTGGCTGGGCAGGACTGATGGTAAGCACCAGTAACGGTAGGATATAGAGACTGATAGAAATCATAGAGGGAAGCACAATGGACCAATACAGGTCTAAGTGCATGGGGAAACCCACCCTCTCCAATAACTAACTAACTAGTCCCACCCCACTAGCAACAAAGAAAAAAAACATAAACTGTATCCATACTGGCTCTGGAGCAAATCTAACTTCCTATACAGTGAATGCCATTTGGTTTTTATATCAGTGGTAAAGCAGGTTGGGCGTGAAGCTGATCATGAACCTCTGTCTAGTCTTGAGGCCAAGAATGCATGGAATTATACCTCCACTCACCCATAAGTCTTTATGGCATTGTTCTTAATTGCGTACAGGGACAACCTTTCTGATTCATTATTCACTAATCATCTTTCTGTGCTATATTGTGTGAGCTGCTGACAGCACCATTAAATGAACTGTAATTGCAACCATTGTGTGAAACGTTGCAGCGCATCAGCACAGCAAGTGGCGATGGGAAACACTACTGCTACCCACATTTCACATGTGCAGTGGACACAGAGAACATTCGACGGGTGTTCAATGACTGCCGTGACATCATCCAGCGCATGCACCTGCGCCAGTATGAGCTGTTGTGATGTCATGGCAGTAGCATAACTGTTGCCACCACTGTCACCACCACCTCCACCACCATACAGCAATTGCAGCAGGTAACATTTGCATTCATTTTTCCTTCTAGGCTCTTTGTGTTTATGGACCAATAATTTCTTACATATGGCACTTCCTCCCTCTTACAGTGAACATATTATCATCAACACACTATTTCCTTTGATATTGGAGACCAAGTTCAGTACCCTGCAAAACATCAGATAAAGTTGTAGTTTTATGTATTTTGTTATTTATGATTTTTATAGCAGACAGGGACACAAAATAACCTGAACTTGATTCTTAAATATGTAAGATTTGAGGCTTTCACGGCGGTGACTATGAAGANTGTTGCAATGTAACGACATTTCATAGGTGCTCCTCGACCATTCTGTCCAGTTGCAGGTGCAGGTGCAGGGGTATAGTGCACATCTTGCTCACTCCCAGGCATTACAAAACCTTCTGTATCAGACAGGACTCAAAGTTGAATCCCTGCTCACTATGTAGCTCTTATGATACCTTAAGGAGGCAAAAGAAGTCTATAACCTGCACTGTTTCCACTGTCAAAGCTTCTTGGTTGGGAATGACATAGTCTTATAGCCACTTTGCAAAATAGTCCATGGCAATCAGAAGGTATCGGTTTCTGTGGTAACTCTGTGGGAAGGGCCTTTACAGTGTACTGATGCATTTGACCTTGAATCTTGATTCTTATTTGTGTTCGGGGTCAGCCATTTACATACAGCTCTCAGATTCTTGGGGTCCGTGGCTATCCTCCCCTCAGGTGGCACACTGTGCCTTAGGTACCATACTGCCTTCTAAAATTTGGCACTTCTCCAGATTGAGCTTCAGATGGGAACACTTCCCGCAGGAGCAGGTGCTCTTGGAATGTGTAGCCAATCAAGATCACATCCACGTACATGAGGCGTGACTCGTAAATGAGGCCTCTTAAGGTGGTCTCCATTAACTGCTCAGATATTGCTGGAGTGTTGTAGAGGACAAAGGTTGTGTGAACCTGAACTCCCATAGCCCTTGACTTGTGCAGAATGTAGTCATTTCCTATTCCAGATGCATTTGGCTCCTGCCAGCATGTCCATTGTGTCATCAATCCAGGGCAATGAGAAACAGTTTTTCTTCATAACATCGTTGATTTTCCTGTAGGCTATGTAGAAGCAGACATCCCTACTCTTCTTCCGGGTGAGACTGTCGGTGCATGACCAGGTGCTGTCTGACTCTTTCACAACCCCACATTGTTACATGTTGTCGAGCATCTCACCTAATTCCACCTGTTATGCTAGGGGACCCTCCTCAGGGGTTTGGCAGATTGTTCAGGTTTCTCACCTCCTCCTAGCCTGAAGGTAACTGTTCTCACTTTGGAGTCCAACAAAATACCCTTGCAGTTCTTCAGGAATGAGGTCTTGTTCATCCTCACTCGTCAGGAGAGTTTTCCTTGAGGATGTCTGGGTCTTTTTGGGGATCTGACTTTCTCTATGGGAGTATTACCCTCAAGCCTTGACGTCTTATAGGCCCCAGTTAGGGTTTCTCCCTACTTGGTCTTTCCCGGATTTCTTGGTTTTGGAGTGCCCCAAGTTCCTGCAATCCTTGCTGTTTTCACTTTCTGCCTAGTTCTCCCTGACAGTTTTGTCTTCACTAGATGGAGCTTGCCTGCTTCAAAGGGTTAGTGTCTTAGCAGGTATTCTAGAAATGCTAGCTCCCTGCAGTGGTATGCCAGAATTGCTGACTTGCAAGAGAGAGGCCCTAGATGTCACAGTGGGCAGGTATCTCACAATGGGCTGATCCCTGCCTTTGGCCGAAATTGTAACTGCTGGTTTACTGGGGTGCACCAGTACAACATTTTTTTTTGTGCCCCACAAGTAAGATCTGAGAAGTCACCACCAGCAGCACCCCACGCAGGTGGGAGGCATAGATACAGTGGGGCGCTGTCTCGTGTCTTGAGGGGATCATTCAGAATATCAGCTCATTTTCACCACAGTTCCACACAGCCCTCAATGCCTTGGGTAGGTGGACCACTGCTCTGTCTACCTTTCAGACGTTACCTCCACCTGTGATGTGGATGCCAGGGTTGGCTTTTGAAGGTATTTGACCTTACTTAATGAATGTTCTGCAAGTGAACCTAACAGCTTCTGTACATGGTTCAGTATGGGATTGTGCCAGCCATCATCTGTCTGCAAGGAACTCATCTCCAGTACTCACAAGCATTAACCTTTCGTGGTTATTTGGCCCACTGTTAGGACCACCTCAGTGGCAATATATCCAGTGGGAGGGGGGGGGGCACTATCTCATTCAAGGGCTGCATCTTCTGTGCCACACTCAGTATTCCCTTGCCACGCTACAAGTCACTGTGGCCTGTCTTAACCCACCGTATATCTTTTTAACAGTTTGCAGCCTGTATCATCTGCTGGCAATACCAGTAAAACTTGCAAAATTACCCCTGCCATTTTGGGTAACTTCAGTTCCCACAGTATTCTCTGTAGGTTGGTCCTCACTGACAATAGACATAGAAGAGTTGTTAGTGTACACACTGAATTTGATCTAATTCTCATGAACACATAAGCCTACACACACTTCTACCTCAGATCCTCAGATTATGAACCTTGTCTGCCATGGACCATGTCTTCAATAGTCCAGGGCTAGCAGTTCATCTTGAGTGGTCCATTGTTCTAAATGAATGTGGTAGTGTCCACTGATGCCCGTGTTCTGTTGCTTAATGTTGTTACATACAATCATCCAAGCTCATGGGCTGACTGTAGCTTTTGTACTCGTAATGCGGTAGTTTTATGGTGAGGAATTGTTAGCATATCTGTTGCTTATGCAGTATATTCACAGCTACCCTCCATTCTGAGGATGTGCCATGCCATGGTGCCAAGGACCCACTGAACACGTGTAGAAAATAAAATCAGGAATGCACTAACTAATCTGAATAGATGGCAGGGTAAATACACTTTATAGGCTTTGTAGAAATCAATATATTTTGCAGTTTATTTTGTTGCGTTGCAACATGTAAGAGGAGGAATATTATGTGTTCTAGATACGTAGATAATTATAGTTAATATGGTAGATAGCATTTTCATGAAATGTAATGCAAAGAAAATAGTTACAGTTCTAGAATATTGGTTCCATAAGGAAGGTTTCTGTCAGAAGTCAACAAGAATGCAAAATTGTGTACAGATATTTTAGAAGTGCATTCTTTGCTATTATTGCTATTTATTGCCAAAGCAAATTTTATGGGGGCAATTAAAATTTGTAATCTCAGTGATATCCTGTTAAGTCCTTCGGATATAATATTATATTTAAGCATCAGATATGTTGATATCCTAGATGCTTAAGAGTTTTTACAATGATGTCCAGTTCAATTTTACATTCTCACTGCAGTGACTATGAAGAGTATGAGTTGAGTTCTGAGTTGTAACACCACGTAGTTTGGAGAATGCCTCTCACTTCAGAGGAACTTATCGCCTCCATCCTCATGGTCAAAGAGTAAGTGAAGTTGGTTTCTTGTTTGGCTTACTCTTCAGCCCTGAAGTTGAAGAATGTGTGTTCCTCCAGAACATAAGGCTTTCTCCGATGTTACAAGCCAGAAGACTGTACTCTTCACAGTCACTACCACAAGAACTTCATATCCAACGCTCTGATTCTCTTGTACATATTAGTCATCCAGAGTATTGCTGTAGTGTCACACATCTCATGCAGTGTTCTTATCTGCTTTTCGTGTAATACAGTGCACTGAGTGTTTTATGCAGTGGTGTGAACCCTTAAGTTGTACTGAAATGCAATAATGCAGATCAGAAATATTTAAAGAGTTTCATACATTTCTATCATCCAAGATTAGGAACTTTGAATATCCATGTACTGTGGGATTGGTGGCAATATTTAAATTCACGTTTAACTGTGTATTGTCTGTGAATAAAACTCTGTGATTTCAGTCCACAAGCAAACTATACCGACCAAGCAACCGCCACTTCCCGGCAAAGTATAGTGTCAACTTTTGCAGATAATGAGCATCACGTGGTCAGCTCAATGAATCCCCACGGCCGTTAATTTCGGTTTTCTAGACCAGAGCCACTATTTCCTTGAAATAGCTCCTCAGTTATCATCACGAGGCTGAGTGGACCCCATTCCAGACCCACTACTTCTCTGAAAAAATCTGGTAGCATCTGTGAATAGGGGATTTTAAATGTCTCACTTCTGTGGCCCTGGTTATTGTATTTTAACTTGGTGGTAACAGCATTAACACTGAAAGCACTCAGTGCTTTGCCTTCTGTACCATTACAGTATTGCATTGGATATAATCTTATGCGCATTGAAATTATTATGAAAAATGTACCTACTAAACGGTGGAGTGTCATCTATTGACCCCAAAAGCATAACTTTCTTTGTGCAAACCCCTTTTTATAGCCAATCACAGTAGCTGCACAATCTAAGGCATAAACTGTCTTTGCCCACTCAAACATTGGGATCATGGTTTCAAATACCACATGAGGCATGGATGTTTGTTTGTATGTGTTTATGTTGTTTTCTATAGGTCGCAGCCTTGTGACAGCCTGGTCTCCCACCCAAGAGTCCAACCAACTGTCTATATGATTAAGAAACTGTAAAACAGAGGCTCTAGTGCCCACAGAGTAGTAGTAAACCCCTTTTTATACTATTACTTCCAAGACGTAATTAGTGTGTATCAGGTGTGGTGTCAGTAAATCTTGTCATCAGTTTCAAACAAGCCAATTCATATATCAAAACACTTTGCTGTTGCAGGTCAACATGGCAGCCACATCCAACACAATTACTGTTACCATTATCACCTGTCGTTACTATCGTCACTGTTATAATCACCACCATGTCACCACTGTTATCACCACAGTGGCATCACCGAGGGAAAGTGGATGGTTCATGATTGTAGAAAGCTTTGTCATGGATGTGTTATCACTACAGTTTTATTCATGGTAATAGTCTACTCAAATGTTCCCTTAATTACATACACAGAGCTGTAGACATGGCTTTGAGATGCCATCCATAGATTGGAAGCTGCTAGTCTCAGCTATGAATTCAGACAGATCACTGTTGGCTGTTGGTTTCAACCCAGAAAAAGAAAAGGAACAGAAGAATTTTGGCAAGAGTTCTTTTCAAGATCTTGTTGGTATCGGTAATCTCTGAAGTGGATCTGGTATCCCGCACAACATTACGCTTTTCTGCTGGATCTGACTGTGGGGAAAAAAGTGTGCTAATGGAGGTCTGTAGGCTTATTGTGTACCATTTTGTTGTTTTATGTTTTAATTTTAAGACTTGTTTACCATTAATATTTATATTGTTTGATACTTGAAGTTTGACACTGAATGTCACATAGCAAGCCCTGATTACACTGTTCAGCATGTCACTAGTTTGATGTCCCCAACTTAAAATTGTGATAGTAAATGTTTGTGTCATGTAGAGTGTGGTGCTTGTAGGATATACCACTGGCTAACTTTTATTGATTTGATTTTGATATGGTTTGAGAAGAAAACACAATGCACAGTGTTCTGTAACCTCTCTTCTGTTCCATAACATGTTTTCAGAGGCATCAAGGTCTGTCAAATTTATAATATAACAGAGAGTCTGCAGTCTACTAATGATGCCAGCTGAAAGTTGTAGCGTAATATAAGTTAAGAGAATAATATTGTGAGAAGTGATATAAAGTGGTGTAACATTTGAATAAGAGCTTAATTACCTGATGTCTTTAAATATTGGATGATATAAACTTCAGTTTATATTTACATAAGTTATGTAACTTTCTGAATCCAACATATAAAAGGCAGTTGATAATATTTATTTTACTGCATATCTAGGCTTTAATACAAAATTATTTTTTCTTGCAACTATAGTCGGCATTGTAGATAATAGGATTAGTGTCTAGGTAACCATTATCTGCCGTTGAACAGTCATGTTTGCATCCCACAAGTTACATGCAGCCTGGGATCAGGACCAGTGCAACAACACTAGGGAACCGAACAATCGCTTCGGGTGACGTTATTTTAGTAAAAATAATTTATGCTACTCTTTTCTAATCATGGCCAGACATTTTTAGTAATTTAAGCATACAGCATGTAAATCTCTTGTTAAGAATTATGGCAGTTTCCATCAGTGTCTGCAGATTTTGTGTTATTAATTATGACAGCTTTGAGAAAATTGATCTGTTTTTAACAGGGAGGAATTTATCATTACATAGGGAAACATTTAGGCTTGTGTAAACCCTAGCTGGAATGTAATGGTTTTAATGATTTTGTTCCCCTTATTTGGGGGAGGGGGGGTCCTGATCCAGTTTTTAAATATGATATGTAATTTTGTATAATTTATATTAATTGATGCTGTATTTTTATATTGTTGTACCACTGTCTTAATTCCTATCTCTCTCTTAATGTGTATGATTGGCAGAAGAATGGCAGGCCCACTTTTTTTTTTTTAAAGTTAGTGGATATAGATTTCAGTCTGATTTATTCATTGGTGTATCTTCCACTTGTGAGTTTATTTTGTAAATATCTTCATGTTTCTGCTAAATGCATCAGCCATCTTCAGAGGTTACAGCCACAAAGTGGTTGCAGCTGTTATATAAACTGTTTTCTCACTGGTAATAACTTCCTCTTCCAAACCTATAATTACTAATATTCCTTTTGAAGACATTCAGCTGAAACATCAGGATTTCATTGAAAATTAAAAACTTCTGGTTTATATGCCAGAAGGTACAGTGAAACCCCTATTTGATTGGGGTTTCTCTGGGAAATGGTGGATTTTAACAGCAAACTTAGAAAAATCATGTACGGAGTCTGTTGATGTTGGATGGTTGAAATTGAACATTAAATGGGGGGAAACCTTAAATTGGACATTAAATGGAGTTTCCACTCCACTGTATAACAGTGAATTATTAAAGACCTGTTCAGAGAATGTAACAGTTCTTCCAATATTGAAATTAAATTAGATGGTATTGTACATAGTTGCATAGAAAATGTAGTAACTCTTGATAAAATTCCTCTCCTTGTTTAACATGCGGATGCATGCATAGTCCTGCTGTTAAGGGATTGTAATTTTGGATATCAACTTTGCACAGAGAAATATGGAACAGATTTAGTTTTATGAATGTAATCTGTGGTGATAACACTGATAATTCATTAGAGCAAGTCATTGTTTACATTGAAGGACAGAAGAAAGAATAATGACTTTTAAAGAATCATTGCAAATATCATTAAGGCTAATGTCTGTTGTGTAATTATATTGTAAAAACAAGATATGTGCATTGTAATGGCAATTGTGTAAGGAGGCATGATTGGAATTACACTTTCTGTCTTTTTTACCTTATAACTGTAGTACTGCAGCATTTCTCTGCAGTACTACCAGGCATTGCTTGAAGTAACAGCATCTCTCTGGGACCAAACCTCAACTGAGATGTATTTTAATTTTTATAATACTGTTTACTTCTGTGAAGCATTAGGCAATTCATTTCTTATTTGTATTCTGAAGTCACACCTCGTAATACATGTCCCACTGAGGCATTGCTCTTTTCATGTGCTTGTTTACAGATCACAGTTATTAACATGTGCATCTTATCCTTCTGCTTATATCCTTTTCTTTTGAAACTGTGCTCTTTTTTTAGGACAGTCAAAACACTATTACTGACTTTATCACTACTGCACAAAATTTTGTTTTCAAATGGAGTAGAGTTTGTATATGTTATATTCTTACATATGTCATTCCTCAAGTAAATACACAACCACTAATAACTTCAGAAATGTTTGTTTTCAAATGTAATTTAATTTACTTCTCAGCATAGTCTGCCTAGGTAACATGAAACATGTTTCACCACTGAACATTTATTTATATTTCCATGACAAGAAATACTTTTTGTTGCTCATGAAACCAAGGTGGCTGCATACATTTGGCCAACTTTCTTTTTTGTAGTACTTTCATGAGTGGGCCAAACATGCAGAAGTCGCATAGTGCAAAATCCAGACTGTGTAGTGGATGTGGTAGCACCTCCCATCCTAATTTGGTGTCCTGTGTCATTTTGGCAGAATGAGAGCAGTCATTGCCATAAAACAGAATAACTTCTTTTTCTTTCCTCTGCATTTCATGACTTAATACTTTTTTCAAATAGATGTCTTTGGGAACCACTGGTCATTTACACACCTGGTTCCATGCAATGGAAAATTGGAAATTGTGCTATCCATGGCCCAGAACAAAGTATCATTTTGCCAGCTGTTTCCTGCGCCTTGAATTTCCTCATTGGTGAACTTGAATGCTTCCCTTTCATCCATGGACTTCCTCTAGACTCTGGTTCATAATAGCAAATCCAGGTTCCATCATGGAACAAAATATCTAAAAGAAATTCCTCACCATTTCCCCTCAATGTTTTATTAACAATTCTTTCATTGTGCTCCTGTGTCTACATTTTTGGTACTCATTGCAAACAAATCTTTTGAAAATTTAAGCTTCTCTAGTGAATAGAGTGAACAGTACCTTCAATAACTGTATTTGTATGTTAGTTCTTGTGTTGTTACTGAACTGTCTGCCAAAATTGAACTTTCAATCAAGTATTAACCCTTCCGCGACGGATAGTATTTAAATCATTTCCTACCGCNTGTGGCATACGATTATTTAAAGGGTCGGTGGATCACACGGATGTCGGTGCGGAAGGGTTAAAGCATGTTCCTGGCAGCTGGCCGCCGGGAGTGGTGACAATCCATTAAGTCATTTCTGCCTTCATTAAACTTGTGGTCCATTTGTAAATGTTCTTTCAGTTCCTGTGGCTTGTCCTGTACTAAAATCTTCATCCTTCCACAATGACAACAAATTTCTCCTCTGATATGAACTCTTGCAGATGGGCAGCCATGTTACCTACTTAAAAAGTAGCATACATGAATGCTTATAGTTAGTGGCGTTACCAAATAGGTAGAGGAACTTCTGCGTCTTTACTTATTGAAGACCCTCATATTATCATCAGTCCATAAGATAAACACAGTTGATGTATATGGTTGATTTGAGGTTCTTACAGCAGTGAATATATAGAATACAGTCTTCCAGGCTGTAACACCATGTAGGCCAACTTTATATTCATTGATGTTTCGGAGGAACATACTGCATCCATCTTCAGAGGTAAAGAGTGAGGTAGGAAACCAGCAACAAATGAATGGCAAGTTTATGTCTTGCTTGGTTTACTCTTCGGCCCTGAAGATGGAGAGAATATGTTCTCTAAAATGTTCTTGGCCTTCTACATCTTTGGAGATAGTACTCTTCAAAGAGTATATAATTTGTTTTGTTAATAAACTTATTTCACATTTTATGCAACTTTGTGATCACCCCCATCCCCCAAAGTTTTGGTTATAAATTCATGTAATATGTGTCCGCATAAGTTCGGTAGAATGATTCTACATCTGTGTAATAGTAAGAGTGCATTAAACTGGGCCTAAGGTGAGCCGTGATTACAACTGTGGATAGATATTTTTGTAAGGTGTTCCTGTGCTTAATTAAACTTCATGCTATGATGACATAGGGGAACATAGGTATAGATAGCTCCGTGCATTCTTAATCTCTGTGGTAGACTGAAGTAAGTGGTGAAGCTTCATGCTTCATGTGCTCTGACCTTAGGGCAAGACCTTCTTGTGCCCAGTTGATAAGAGGTTGGGTGGTCCTCAGAGCCCATCTGGTACACGTGACAAAAGGAAAAATCTCAGCCCCTTCTTGTTGTCCAGTTCATACCCAGTCATTATACTGATTGAAGTAAAATTAAAGAAGTGTGCTTTGTGTCTGTGAAATATCTTGTAGGACAGACGGATGTTACTGACATAATGAAATATGAATTTAATACAGTGTACTCCATAATTTTAGAGGCACACAGTATCGTAGTTGGTTGAGGCACTATGCTACAAGACAGAAGGTTGCGGGTTCAAGTCTCGATGAGGTCATTGGATTTATATCAGTTGACCTAATCCTTCCAGCCACACTATGGCCCTGGTGTCGACTCAGCCTCTAACAGAAATGAGTACCAGGAATTAATTAAATAATTTTCCTGGGGAGTGAAGCGCAATCGGCGCGTAAAGCTGACAACCTTACCGCCATCTTTGAGCCATTTGTTTAGATGATGTGGGACCCTCAACATCTCACAACCCTATGGTCCTTCACGGCCTGTTACAGGGACAGCGTTACTTACTTTTACTCCATTTTATTTAACCAGGTTTTTGTTCTCAGAATAATCCCTTTTCATTCTCATCAGCTAATACTGCAGGAAGAAGCATAATTGCCCTGAAGCATGAAAGTGAGCCATATCAGCTAAATTTATTCCTGCAAACACATATATACATACTTTTATAACTATTACAAGTATGAAAGAAATTTTGGGGGGAGGACTGTTGCACATAATCCAAATGAGAAGGGAAATAACTGAATCCACATATTTAAGGTTATGCAGATTTCCTTGTAAAAGCTCTTGTATGCATTACATCATTGTAACATAGCACCATTTCCACAACATGTTTATATGATAGTTATTTCACCTAGAGTGACAACACATTCGTGTTATGCTTGTCTCAGTACTAGATCCACAACACATCTGTTCCATGCTTATCTCAGCACATTATAGATACAACATATTGGAGTCATGGTT